CAGCGACCTGCCTCTGCAGGCAGTGGTGCCCTAGGCGCTGGACAAATACAGAGCGTTGGCCGAAGGGGATGGTATTTGGCCAAAGGGCTTTGCAGCTGCTGCCCCGGGAGCGGAAAGGGGGGGTAAGAATGCGCCTGGGAGTAAAAAACAGGACTATGTAGCACTTCACAGACTAACAAGATGGTGCTACATAGTCCTGGTTTTTGCTTCAGCGACACCACGCGGCTACATTTCTATCATTGTCTCTCTAGTTTGCAGTACCAAGGCTGTGCAACTTGCAGGTAACTATGGCTATGTCTACACTTATACTTGAACAGCAAAACTTCTGTTGTTCACAGGGGCTTAACGCTCCCCTCCTCCCCCATAAGTGACAAAGATTTGACTGTGCAAGTGCAGCTATGAACCCTGCTTTAGTGAAAGCCACCCACTGGGGGCAGAAGTACTTTGTCTGCAAAAGTGCTGACAGTGTTCACATGCACCAGCTTTTAGTGACAGGGCAGGGTTGACAAAGCCTTATTGCTAAAAGCTTCATAGTATAGATGTACCCTATGTCTGCCAAGAGGTTTGTGTATACAGGCAGTCCCCGACTGTAGGTTTGTTCTTAAGTTGAATTGGTATGTAAGTCGGAACTGGTACATATTGTAGGGGAAACTCTAGCCAAACATTTCTCCAGAGCTCAGTTTTATTCTCCCACACCTCGCTTCCTTCAGTCCTTTATTCTCAAGCTGAGGTGTCTGCTGAGAAAAGCCGCTCCGCATCTCCCTGGTCTGCTGGGGGCGGCTCTAGCTTCGCGTCTCCCTGGTCTGCTGGGGGGAAGCAGCTAGTGTGGGGTTGCCTCACCCTGTTTGTAAGAAGGGATCCGATGTAAGTCGGATCCCTGTAACCCGGGGACTGCCTGTATAGAGATACGAAGCTAAACAGTTGCTAATACAAGCACAACATCTATTTCTGATTTTAGAGTTTTACATTGCCACCCCTCATCATGGTATCTGAACACCTATGAAAATTTCATAGACATAATTAAGTCCTTAGTGGACTTCATGAAGTCTCACTGGATTAAAACTCTGCTTGGGGTAAGGTTGTGCTAATTTTTTATTTATTCTATTTGTTTATGGCTAGTTGATCTTACTTGCTGTTAGTCTCATTTAACTATTGTGGCTTGGCCCACACAAAACAGTTACTTATTTATAATTTTAACTTTTATATAACCTCATGTTTTTGAAATCCTTATGACATAATTTAAAAAAATGAAAGTTAAAACATATCTGAGGTTCTGCTGTAACATTAGAACTATCAGAGGGGTTTTTAATACTCCACTCATCTGAAGAAGTGGCTTGTGCCCATGAAAGCTCATGATACCATCTACAAGTTTCATTAGTCTTTAAAGCGCTGCTAGACTAGTCATTGTTTTTTAAGTTTTTCCTATATTTTAAAGCGCTTCTAGACTAGTCATTGTTTTTTAAGTTTTTCCTATATTAGAAGTAGACATTCATCCACTTCAATCTTTCAGCCTTTACCAGAAACTTAAAGCTGCATGTCACAATTATAAGCCCTATAGAATAAGGATGGCCCCATACATAATTAGGACACTAGCTTGGGACTAGTGAGGAGGTCAGGGTTCAGGTCCTGACTCTTCCAGTAGCTTCATGAGTCACATTGGTCAAGTCTCTTTGTGCCTCTGTTCCCTATCTGTGAAATAAGAATAACACACCTCTACCTCAGAGAGTGATTATGAAGATTAAAAGCTTTAAAAGATTTAATTATGTTCCAATACTATTGGGTAATGGGGATGATATAAGCAACTGAGAAATACAAGTGTAGAACTCCACTGGTTATGTCCAGTTGTTGTTTGTATTGTAGTAGTACCTAGGAGCCCATTGCGTTAGCACAAATAAACAAAAAGCCGCAAATCCCAAAGACCTTACAGCAACTGTTATAAGATATAGCAAATGGATACAGACTAGAGGAGTACAAGGAAACAATGGGATAGTATTGATCAACATGATAGGCAGTGGTATTAGTATCCCAACACCATGCCTATTATCAATGCTTCTGTAGGCATCATAGCAGAAACGAATGAGGTAGATTTGGAAATATTTTGTGGCATGCTTCTTCCAGGTGTGGGACAGCCTAGGAGAAAGCATGGGAGTTGCTTGTTTGACAAATAGGTGATGGAGACAGAGCTATCCCAAGGGTATGGTGAATCAAAGCAACTGCTCTAGACTCTGTGCTTTGGAGGGTCCTGTAGGGACTCTGTGCTTTGGAGGGTGCAATTTGCCAGTAGGCCTGTGGTCCCAGCGGCCAAGATCCCAGGAACACAGGGCTGATTTGTTGTGACTGCTGGCCTCACACCACCCCCAAGCTGGTAGGGGTTGATTTGTCACACCACCCCCAAGCTGGCAGTAGTGAGAGTGAGCGAGAATAGGGAGATTGGAGTTGAACCATGAAGGGTTTGGAAAGAGAAGAAAGGTAGCTTAATGTTGATGTGATTGTTGTCACCCAGCCCAGCTAGGTAACCTGGCAATGTGGTCAGCCTAGAACTGCCCACATACTTTAGAAATGCAAACTAAGGGCAGATCCTGCAAACAGTTACTTTTGCTGGGACTAGTGCGGTGGTAATTATCTGTTTAAAGATCTGGCACCCTCATATCATTTATCAGAGGTCAGATAGAAGTATTTCAGATTACACTGTTTTCAATATTGTTGGTCTTAAGTCTCCGATTTCTCTTACAAATATGTTTATTGCTTTTGAATAGTGCCTTACAATGTTTCTGTTGTTTTTCAAGGATAGGATGACTGTGTTGTTTAGGCACATAGATTTTAAATTTTATACAAGTATGTTTATTTTATGCAGAACTTGTAGAGTAAATATTTAAACAAATAAAACATTGTTACATGTGTTTTATTCGTTAATATTTTGTTTTTGGTTAACAAATATACTTAGAAACAAGAATGCAGATTAAACTTGGAGAAAAAGCCTCTGTGTGAAAACAGTAAAATCACAGCTTCCAGGGAAATTTTATTGGGGGGGGGAGGAAAAAAAAAAGTAAAACTGCCTTTGTTTCTTTTTAAAACTAATTTTTTCTCCTTTACCTGCTCTCACAATTTTTCACAAATCAGACTTTTAAACTTGGCAGTTGTGCACACACCACTTTAAAACATGCTATTTAATTTTATTTATAAAGTTCCTATGATGTCTGAGCAAGCTTAGAATCTACTTTTTTTAGTATCAGAGGGGTAGCCGTGTTAGTCTGAATCTGCAAAAGCGATGAGGAGTCCTGTGGCACCTTATAGACTAACTGAAGTGTAGGAGCATAGCTATCGTATACTTTTTTTAGGACATACTTTTAAAATACTTTACAAGGGTGTGTCCATATTGCATTTACAAACTGTAGAGCGGATTGTAATGTCCTATTCAATATCCATGTGATTGGCAATATTTCCACATTACATTTTAGTTGCTTCAGATATGAGTGAGTGCTGAGAATGCCAGTAACACAACAACATACAAAGTTACAACAGAAGAAAAGAAATGTTTTGTTTAGAGTATTCTGTTTCATGAGGGCAACAAGTCAACATTAAATCCTGACTTTACATTTTGTTACTGAGTAATACAATGTTGAGGTGGTTAATATTTTTTAAAGAAAATGCCCATTATAAATTTACATTATCTGGGCAGCGTCCATTTCTGTCCAGAGCATACTTGTAGACTATGTGACTGTTCCCTTGGTGACTGTAAACTGCTCATTGTGCACTAAAGCACTTATAAGTGTTACGTATACAAGATGAACCTTTCTAGTCTGGCACCTTCGGGACCTGACCGGTGCCGAACTACTACAAGTCAATATTGTTTAGCAGCATTACCAATACTTCCACTGCTTACTGTGCTCTTAGAAGACATGTATGGGGTAAATTAGAGCTAAATAACAGCACAGAATACTGAGAGCCTGGACTTGTGGCTGTACACAAACTTTATGAGACTGCAGGAAACTTGGCCATACCCATGATAAGTGGACATCCAGCTTACTAACATCATGCCAGACCATGGATGCTGCTAGACTAGAGAGGTTCAATCTGTAGTAGTGAAAGAATACATATCAGTGATGTTAGCACATTTTCTCCTTCATTTGAATTGGTATTAAAAATGGGGTAGGGTTTACTTGTCAGATAGGAGGCAGCTAGTATTAAAACATTTCCTGCATTAAATCTGCTAGCTAACCCACAGGTACCTTACTAAAAAACAAAAATAGGGAGTTGCTACACAATTTTTTTTAGGAGTCTAGTTCTTTATCTAGGCACTCAAACTTAGTACACCTGTCTATTACCTCTAGTTCCTTCCTTAAGTGAGGTTATGGAATTTCCATCTTTGGAGATTTTTAAGAGCAGGTTAGAATACCTGTTAGGGATGGTCTTATTTTAGTTCTGCCATGAATGTATGGAACTAACTTGGTGATCTTTTGAGGTCCTTTCCATTCCTATGCCTCTATGATAAACAAGATAAATGTATGTTTTGCTCTATTGTGTTTGTAGAGTTCAAAGATACTCTCTTTTAAAAAAGTTTCCTTATCTTTGGAGCAATAATTCCTTTTCGATGCCTGTCTATATTCAGTTAGCTCATAAAAATCCATATCGAAGTAATAACCCTGTAAATGGTTTGTTGCTGTTGCTCATTCCCATATGCCTGAATATTTGTGGTGCCTGTTACAATTAGGTCTTCAGGTTTTTTTCTCCAGCAGATAGGAAAGGGGGAATGTCATTCATTTGCATTCATCATCTAATTATTAAATTTTCAAACACGCACCTTTGTTCTTTCTTTCATGCTATCCCTCCATGTTGGGCGGAGTTCCCCATGAACATCCACAAAACTACCTCACTTTGCTCCTTAAAAAATCTTTATTTGCCATGAACCCTATGAAAACATTGACAACAGTTAAGCTAATGTTGTGCTGAAGCCATTACTTTACCTGATCCATATTGTTTCATTGATTACTTGTACTTCCCTATCTATCTCTTGTCTTTGATTGTAAGCTCTTCTGGCAAGGCCATCTTTTCTGTGTGAATTGTCTTGTACAACTGGGCCCTGGTCAATGACTGGGGTTCCTAGACATCGGCATAAGTGAAAAGAACTCCAAAGAGTAGGGGTCTTATGTGAAGAATTATGGGACTAATTTAATATATTCTGCATTGTTCAGTATATTCTGTTTTTTAAAATATGTTGTAAAGTTTTTTCCCATTTTAACAATTTACTTGTGTTCTTAAAATTCATTGTATCTGCAAATAGGATAGAAGATATCTACTGAAAATATTAATGAAAAAATTCCACTATGATTTTACAAATGAAAACAGGACAAAACAATTATCGTTATTGCCTGCTTGTGAAGTTTCGAATGTGTCATTTAGTAACATTACCTTATTTTTCTTTATCTGCTGTTGCTATATTACAGGAAAGATGGGATTCAGCCAAGATTCCTGAGTAATAAGAATGGGTCCAGATGTTCCTCTTCTGAATTATTACAAACAGGAGTTCTTCTTGAAGCGCTTTCCACAGACTGTTTTGGGAGGTCCTCGATTTAAATTAGGCTATTGTGCACCTCCTTACGTATATGTGAATCAGATCATTCTTTTCCTGACACCATGGGTTTTGGGAGGAGTAGGAACTCTTTTGTATCAGTTAGACATTATGAAAGACTATTACACCGCTACACTTTCAGGAGGACTAATGCTTGTTACAGCACTTATTCTCCAGATGACAAATCTGTATGCAAGACAGAAAACAGTGACAGTAGAAAGAATGCAAATTCAGAATACCCTAACGGATGAAGATGAGTATGAATTTTCCAGCTGTGTGGGTTCAGAGACAGTTAAATTTATTATTCCAGGCAAGAAATTTATAATCAATACTGTATTTCATTCTTTTCTTGCTGGGATAATGTGTGGTTTAGGAACTTGGTATTTGCTGCCAAACAGAATAACCTTGCTGTATAATAGCATTGGAGGAACTGTTGTGATCTTTGTGTTTGGATGGGTGACTATATGTATAGGAGAATATTCTTTAATCATAAACACAGCTACAGAGACAGCTACTTTTCAAGCACTGGATACTTATGAAATTACTGCTCTGATCAGACCTTTCTATATTTTTGTCTTTATTGCAGTGGATCTTGTACACAGGTAACTACAATGTTTATATAACTGTAATGTGGGTTTATGTACACTGTTTCTTGGTAGATGCTATGAAACCATTTTCCTGAAGGATATGTATTTGGAAATGTCAATCAATTGGAAAAATCCAGAAGAACCCTAGAAAATTATACAATAGAACATAATGTTTTATTTTGCTTTTATAGAAAATTAAGAACTGGATATCTTTTGAGAAAAGTTAGGTGAGACTGAAGTTACAGATTTAGCAGAGTTAAAGTAGTCACGCTCAGTCTTTTAAAATCATTATTATTGGAAGTACTGTAATTGTTTGCCTTTACTGTCTTTTTAAGGATCAGTTAACAAGCAGTATATTTTTACAGATTTTATTTGTCTTAACATAATTTATACCATATGTAGTCAAAATAATTTAGATCTGGATTCAAACTTTGCACTTCTAGATGTTGTCAGTCTGACAATGTTCAGGAATTAATTGAAATATATTTATTTTTATGATGTCATTTTTCAAAAAGTCTGACTATTCTGACATTTGAATATGAGATATATAACTTGTATACTTCTGAACTTAACGGTATCTTTCTTTCATAAGAGTCAAATCATCTTTTTTTCATCCAGGTTTACAGTTAACATACCAGTTTTAGAACAGACAAACCAGATTTTGCACATCTTATTTCTGTTTTTGCCACTTTTGTGGGCATTGGGGATTCTGCCCCCACTTGATGCACTTTTTCTATGGGGAATGGAACAAGTGTTGGAGTTTGGCCTAGGAGGTTCACCCATGTCAAGTAATATAAGGTAAATGTTATTTACATAATAATCAAATATATCAATATACTTTAACCTTTTTTCTTTTCAAGCAAATCTTTTTTTTTTTTTCCTCCTTCACAGGTTGTTAGTAATGTTTCTCATTTCTGCTGGAACAGCTATAGCGACGTATTTCATTCCCAGCACTGTTGGTGTGGTCCTCTTCATGACTGGATTTGGGTTCATACTCAGTCTTAACCTAAGTGAGATTGGGTTAGCCTATAAGCACACTACAATCAGCCATTTAACTTCCAACAAGTCTAAGACAATATCCTGTGGTCCGAGGATATACTTGGGTTGGAGGGAATTCTTTTTCTATTTGACTGTCTTGACGTTGGCTCTCATAGAAGCCAGCTTGCTGCATCACTTTGCTGGTTTTTCATTATTTTCCAGAGCCAGTCCCCAGGCTATAGTGAGTTACATTCTGATCATATTACTTATAATTATGTGGCTTCTTAGAGAGATTCAGGGAGTGTACTTGTTTGGAATCTTCCGAAATCCTTTTTATCCAAAGGATGTCAGGACTGTGACGGTGTTCATGGAGACACAAAGAAGGCTTATGGAAGTTGGTGTTGTCAGAAGGATTTTACTAACACTAGGTAGGAGTACCTGTTATATGCTATATGTAAGATTATTAAAGGGATATTTAAAATATGACAATAACATTTCAAGTTAAAATGCATGAGCTGACTTAAATGACTTAAAGTTTGCATTAAAGTTTTTTAAGTCTTGTATGCCCAATTAATGGGTCCAGATTTTCAGAAGTGACTTGTGACTTAAGGTGAATGAATTTTGTGGAGGAACTAACTTTCAGAGTGAGTGCGCTCAGTGCTCTCTGAAACCCAGCCTCCTTTAAAGGAATGTAGATATGGAATCCATAAATTGTCACTTTTGAATCTCTTTGCTGTAGCTTTCATAATATAATTCTAAAAGAAAACTAAATTGAGGGGGTTGCAGAGGCTTCTCCAAGGCTCTTGTGTGGGACAAGAAATGAGAGGTTCAGAGTGTGGGAGGGAATTCTCAACTGGGGAGTGGGCTGGGGTATGGGAAGACTCTAGCTAGGGGTGGTGGGATGAGAGGAGGGAGTTCTGAACTGGGGCAGAGGGTTTGGGTGCTGAGTGGCACTTATCCCAGGCAGCTCCCAGTTGGTGGCCCAGTGGGGCTAAGGCAGGCTCCCTGCTTGCCCTGGCTCCATGCTGCTCCTGGAAGTGACTACCATGTCCGGTGCCTAGGTAGAAGGGCCAGGTAGCTCTGAGCAATGCATGCTGCCCTCATGGCTCCCTTTGGCCACCATTCCTGGCCAGTGGGAGCTGTGGAGCTGGCACTAGGGAAAAGGGCAGAGCACGAAGCTTCCCAGATCACCCCTATGCCTATTGAGCTGTGGGGGACGAGCCAGCACTTGTGGTTCCAGCTCTGGGGGGGGGACGACACTGGTTTCCTATCCATAGCATGGAGACTTGCTGCAGGCAGGATAAGATGAAGCAATGATCTGGATCTGAGACGCAGGTTCTCCATCTGTGGTGCAGATATAATTCTGGAGTACTTGTTTCACTCATCAGAATATTACCATTAACTTCAGAGAGACTAATCACAAGTTAAGCATGGGTGTAAACACTTGCAGGGAGGGATGGGCACTTTGTATGAAAATATCGCCTGATTTTAAGAATTTGTTGTTTTGTTTTAAGGGAGAGGAGAAATTTTATTTTTAAAAATTACTGACTTATTGGTGTCGATTTCCATTCTGCATTGAGCTCATCGCAGAATCTGAAGCGAATTTATGGACTTTGGTAGACATTGACAAGAAAAACATTGACGTTTCTCATGTGTTTTTTCCTTTTAATTGCAGTTTCTCCATTTGCTATGATAGCATTTCTTTCATTAGACAGTTCCCTACATAGTCTTCATTCTGTTTCCATTTGCATTGGATTCACAAGAAGCTTTAGAATGGTAATTTTAAATTTTTCTCATTTGTTACCTTTGTAGAAGAAACTTTTTCCAAAAGAAATAAGTGACTTGGAAGAAATACTCCAGGTCAAGAATGAGAATGGGCAGTGTGACAGAGCAGAGGGAACAGCAGCAATCCTGACTAATTAGGGGCAGCTGAGAGAGGGTGAATGCAAATCAATTAAGGGCCAGGTGAAGCTGATTGGGGCTGCCAGGGGGCCTCTGAGGGAGAGGGAAAGGGGGAGAGGAGGAGAGTGGAGAGAAGGAAAACAACCCAGTGTGAAGGAGACTCAGAGTAGAGAAGCAGAAGGAACCACCAGCCCTGCTAAAGGCTACAGGGGGAGGTAAGGAGTTGAGCAGGGGGTGTTGGAGGGCTCCCTTACCCCCACCCTTTGGGGGGAAAAATAAAAGGGCTTTCTGGTCAGCCGTGACTGGCCCAGGGCTTCAGCCCATACAACATCCTTTATGCTAAGGGCCAGGAAGGCCCAGGGACAAAAACTCTGCAGATGAGGGCCCTGCTGCAGCCCTCAAAGTGTGGGACAGTGGTCAGAACAGTGGTTGGGGTCTCAGGAGAGAGATTGACCCTGCCACAGCAGCTTCTTGGTACAACAAATAATTGGTCTCTGTTTTAGGTTTGGCAAAATACAGAGTGCGCCCTGTTGGAGATGGTGGTTGTAGCAATAGTGCAGATGTTACTATTTAATACAGATGTGTGGTGGAACAGAAGCATTGATACAGGAATCAGACTCTTACTGGTAAACCTAATTTTAATTTTAATTTTGATCAAGCAGCTAGCTACAGGTTGTACCATCCTAAAGGGGGGGCTCTCTGGTCCGGCATCACAAATGTTCCTGGACTAGAGAACCTTGGCCAGGAGCTTGGTGGCAGGGCAGCTTGCTTCAAGTAGCCTTTTCGGGCAGCAGCCAGTTGGCGGGGGGCCCCACTGTCTAGGAGCCCTGCTGGGGCTGGTGGCAGCAGTGGAACTGGAGCCGGCAGCGGTCTGTCCAGCGCTGGGGCCAGAGCTCTACCAGTGACAGGAGTCCAGTGGCTGGCAGCCTGGATGGGGATGGAATCACAGGCAGCAGTAACCCAGACAGAGATCGAGCCACTGGTGTCCAGTAGCCCAGAGAGGGCCAGAGCCACAGGGTGTCCAGTGGGGGCAGGGTTGGCAGCACTGGCAGCAGCCAGATGGGGCTGGGAGCGTAGCCAACCGGTGGTAGGAGGACTGGCTGGGGCTGGTGGTAGGGGAGCCAGAAGCACCAGCAGTGGGATGGGGCAGTGGACTACAGGGGCCGGTGCCAAGGGACCTCCCCTGCTCTGGCAGAATCCCTCATTCGGGACCAGTCAGGTATTGCTTGCTATACTTTTCTTCCCCACTTCCAGAATTAGGGCTCAGGGATTGTGAATATGGAGACTGAAACTCTGTAGATGTGGATTTTCTCTTGGTTTGGTAGTTAATGTTAAAAGAATGTTAAGTGTACTAAATAAAGCTATGTAAACCTGAAAATACTAGCAATGTTGAATGTGACCAGATACCTATGAAAAAATTTGATTCTTGTGTGTATTTCTACAGGTTGGTGTAATTCGGGATCGATTACTTCAGCTGATCTCAAAACTACAGTTTGCAGTAGTTGTTCTCTTGACATCATGGACAGAGAAAAAGCAACGTCGGAAATCTACTGCCACCTTAATTACACTCAACATTGTTTTCTTCCCAATTGTACTGGCCTTCATAGCTATCTCTACACTGCTTTCTTCTCCCTTGGTGCCACTTTTCACTCTACCAATATTTTTGATTGGATTTCCTAGACCTATCCGAAGCTGGCCTGGACCTGTGGGTGCAACTGCATGTGTTTGTTCAGATACCATATACTACCAGCAGGTGGTTCCAAGTTTGGCCACTGCGCTGCAGTCTGCACTAGCAGCTGGTAGTTTAGGTAGGTAAACTAAGCAACTGTGTAAAATAAAGCATTTAACTGTGTTATCTCCTAAATTTGTGTTGTCTTTGTTGGAGAACATTGTGATTTGCAACATCTAATCAAAATAAATGTGATACTACTTAGATTAAAATTTACAGTACAGTGTTCCAGGGCTTATTCAGATAAAAAAATGGATGGCTTCTGAAATGGCTGCATTCTCTTAATAGTGTGCTATGGTTCAATACAGTACAAAGTGGTGCACAATCCTTTTGCACTTGGCATTCCTTATATTGAAAGAGAAGATATCTTTCTGAAAGATCTACCCAAGCTCAATTAAAGGCTGTGGACTTGAAACAAGAATCACTTGGTAAAATTCTGTGGCCCGTGTTATGTGGGAGGTTAGACTAGAGGATCATAGTGGTCCCTTCCGACCTTACAAATTTATGAAAGGGTATAGCGTCTTTATTTTTATTATACTAAAAACAAGATGTTTTTCCTCACAGAAAAGATAATTGATCTAGACAGTATTTGGATCCAGATTTACACCTTAATTTCTTAGCTTGAACAGACACAAAGGAGTTTAACGTAAGAAGCAGTTCTGCAGAAAGGCCCATCTATACCGCTATACCGAAGAAAACATGAAAAAAGCAGTGTACATTTTCTGGTAGTTCCAGCTGATTGTAACAGTCAGGAATAAGCCTCCAGCTCAAGCAGTATAGTTTACAATAGCTCTTCATATTGTAAGAGGAAACCATAAGCACCGCAGCTGCCCTAGTTCTGCTGGCAATTCTGACCGCCATTCCACAAGGCATTGGCCTTATCCTTGCAAGTTGCCCCAAAGCCCTAGCTAGTATTAGATGTGGTCACTGTGGGATATATACATCAGGAAGCTAGGAATCTACTTAAGCAATACCTGTGCTGTCCTTGGCCAGCCCAAACTGGTTCTGGCAAGATCAGTGTTACTCTGTAAATGTGCTAGGCTGTTGAAAGGACATGACAGACCACAAACTATTTCATACAAGAGTGTCTTTGCAATGGTTTCCTCAATGTATAGAAGAAACCTTAATCATCAGAATGCCACAGTAAAATAACTCTTTCGTTCCCTTTTTTAGGTCTCGTCTTACCTGGCTCACACTACTTGTGCCGTTTTCAGGACAGACTGATATGGATATTGGTGCTAGAAAGAGGCTTCACATACTGCTGTGTGACTATTAAGGTGAATATTTACTGAAAACTTACTTAGTCGTGTTTTGGAAACATTTGTTTCTGTGTAACTTCCTGTAATAGCACAAGTAACACAGTTTACATTACATAAAGCAAGAGGTGTTCTGGGTGTAACGAATTTAGTTTTGTAACTGATAGGCTCTCTTGTGGTGCACTGTTAAGTCATTTAAATGATACATTTAAAACAATCTGAAATGCATAAGCCAGTTATGACCTAGAACAGCGTTTTCCAAACTGAGCCATGGCCCACTACCAGACCGTGGGAAAAAAATACTGGGCCTCAGAGTGGCTGCCGGGGTGTTCTGGGCTCCCGGAGTACCTGTGTGGTGCCGGGTCCCCCAAGCCCTCGGCTGGGCTGGGCAGAGTCTGCAGCCGGATGTTCTGGGCTCCAAGCAGAGATGTAGCTAGGGTTACCAGGTGAGATAAAAAACAATGCCAGACACACTTGATCTGGGGGGGGGGAGGCC